TTCCCAGATTCATGAAAAGTGACTTTAAATGAGTTATTCTGCAAAATTCTCAAAATACATTTATTTGTAATTATATATTTCATATAATAAACATGTTTCTTTCCCATCAAATGTTTTTATTATTATTATTAAAAATGTTTTTCATAAGTATAAAAACTAGTTTCGGGATTATTTCTGTAATTCTGAAACCTTTCCTTGTTTTTTTAAATCCCTCTCGCATCAAATATATTTGTCTCAATACTACCTTAAATTTGGGCATCATTTTAAAAATTAAAATGTATATCTTAATAGTCCTTTTCTTTTTCCGTAATCATGTAAACAGTTTTTTTCGTGATTACGAGAAGAAAAAAAAGAAATTCTAAATGTGTATATATTTATTTTTTATTTCTTATTATTTATTTTTCTAGTATCAAGTAATATTCTCCCCTAATTATACATAATTTTCCGTTATTACTAAATATCTTTTTCGTGACGAGGAAACATTTTATTCCTAATTATTTTCTTTAATAATTTGAAATATTTCCCGTTTCTTTTTGACCCTTTCTTTGGTGTTTGCACTTCATGAACTTTAAGCATCACGTACAATTAAAACCATTGTTTGAAATATTCCAGCAGCTCCACGTGTCGCTGTGCGTTGAGAAATGTAAACAGGAAGTCCTTTATTAAAGCAGCGGTGAAACAGGTGGAGGTGAGTTCACAAAGATCCTGTGTGTTCGCTGACAGGACGCTCCACTCGGAGTGAAAAAGCGAAGATGTTTTGGTTCATCAAGACGACAAAAAATGTAAAAAAATGACACGGTGAGTTCAAACAAGGCAGTGCAAAAACTCCTCTTCCTCCTCCTCCTCCTCCTGCAGTCAGTAGTAAACCTCCTCTCCTTCCTCCTCTCCTTGACTCCTTGTCTCCTCTCCTCTCGTTGGGTTCAAGCAGAGTTCAGATACTCCAGAGCGACTTCATAGCAGAACTTATACTGCTCCTGTAGAGGAAAATCACCCAAAAAACACACTTTTTAGTAATTAAATTTACATAAATAAAAATAAATATAAATAATATTACATTCATGTATAGATTATTGTACATTTCAAACAATTTAAAGAAAAATAAATGTAAATATTACCAGCAGGTCCACCATGTTTGGTTTGTTGTTTCTCAGAGTTTTTACGGCGTGAAAGTTATCGACGCAGCGCTGCTGACGTAACATTTCACACACGATGCTGACGCTGCAAAACACTCCACTACGACCACCGCCATTTCTGAGGAGAGGAGGCAAGGAGAGGAGACAAGGAGAGGAGACAAGGTGAGGAGACAAGGTGAGGAGAAAAGGAGAGGAGGCAAGGAGAGGAGAAAAGGAGAGGAGACAAGGTGAGGAGACAAGGTGAGAAGGAGAGGAGACAAGGAGAGGAGACAAGGTGAGAAGGAGAGGAGAAAAGGAGAGGAGACAAGAAGAGGAGATTTAATTTTCAGCATGTGCTTCCACTGTTTGGCCACCAGATGGAGACAAAACACCACAAAGGAGCTCAGAATCTTTTCAGTAGTATAATTGTGTTAAAGTGCATTTGGAAGTATTACCGTATATCTTCAGTAGTATAGCAGTATTTACGATATACATAGTAGTAATAAAGTACTCTGTAATGTCTCAAAGTACTCTGTGATGTCCTAAAGTACTCTGTAATGTCTCCTAAAGTACTCTGTGATGTCTCCTAAAGTACTCTGTAATGTCTCCTAAAGTACTCTGTAATGTCTCCTAAAGTACTCTGTGATGTCCTAAAGTACTCTGTGATGTCTCCTAAAGTACTATGTGATGTCCTAAAGTACTCTGTGATGTCCTAAAGTACTCTGTGATGTCTCCTAAAGTACTCGGTGATGTCCTAAAGTACTCTGTGATGTCTCCTAAAGTACTCTGTAATGTCTCCTAAAGTACTCTGTGATGTCCTAAAGTACTCTGTGATGTCCTAAAGTACTCTGTAATGTCCTAAAGTACTCTGTAATGTCTCCTAAAGTACTCTGTGATGTCTCCTAAAGTACTCTGTGATGTCCTAAAGTACTCTGTAATGTCCTAAAGTACTCTGTAATGTCTCCTAAAGTACTCTGTGATGTCTCCTAAAGTACTCTGTGATGTCCTAAAGTACTCTGTAATGTCTCCTAAAGTACTCTGTAATGTCTCCTAAAGTACTCTGTAATGTCTCCTAAAGTACTCTGTGATGTCCTAAAGTACTCTGTAATGTCTCCTAAAGTACTCTGTAATGTCCTAAAGTACTCTGTAATGTCTCCTAAAGTACTCTGTGATGTCCTAAAGTACTCTGTAATGTCTCCTAAAGTACTCTGTAATGTCTCCTAAAGTACTCTGTAATGTCCTAAAGTACTCTGTGATGTCTCCTAAAGTACTCTGTGATGTCTCCTAAAGTACTCTGTGATGTCCTAAAGTACTCTGTAATGTCCTAAAGTACTCTGTGATGTCTCCTAAAGTACTCTGTGATGTCTCCTAAAGTACTCTGTGATGTCTCCTAAAGTACTCTGTAATGTCCTAAAGTACTCGGTAATGTCTCCTAAAGTACTCTGTAATGTCCTAAAGTACTCTGTAATGTCTCCTAAAGTACTCTGTGATGTCCGAAAGTACTCTGTAATGTCTCCTAAAGTACTCTGTGATGTCTCCTAAAGTACTCTGTGATGTCCTAAAGTACTCTGTAATGTCCTAAAGTACTCTGTGATGTCTCCTAAAGTACTCTGTGATGTCTCCTAAAGTACTCTGTGATGTCCTAAAGTACTCTGTAATGTCCTAAAGTACTCTGTGATGTCTCCTAAAGTACTCTGTGATGTCTCCTAAAGTACTCTGTGATGTCTCCTAAAGTACTCTGTGATGTCCTAAAGTACTCGGTAATGTCTCCTAAAGTACTCTGTAATGTCCTAAAGTACTCTGTAATGTCTCCTAAAGTACTCTGTGATGTCCGAAAGTACTCTGTGATGTCTCCTAAAGTACTCTGTGATGTCTCCTAAAGTACTCTGTGATGTCCTAAAGTACTCTGTGATGTCTCCTAAAGTACTCTGTGATGTCTCCAAAGTACTCTGTAATGTCTCCTAAAGTACTCTGTAATGTCCTAAAGTACTCTGTGATGTCTCCTAAAGTACTCTGTGATGTCCTAAAGTACTCTGTAATGTCCTAAAGTACTCTGTGATGTCTCCTAAAGTACTCTGTGATGTCTCCTAAAGTACTCTGTGATGTCCTAAAGTACTCTGTAATGTCTCCTAAAGTACTCTGTGATGTCCTAAAGTACTCTGTGATGTCTCCAAAGTACTCTGTAATGTCTCCTAAAGTACTCTGTGATGTCTCCTAAAGTACTCTGTGATGTCCTAAAGTACTCTGTGATGTCTCCTAAAGTACTCTGTGATGTCTCCTAAAGTACTCTGTGATGTCTCCTAAAGTACTATGTGATGTCCTAAAGTACTCTGTAATGTCTTAAAGTACTCTGTAATGTCCTAAAGTACTCTGTGATGTCTTAAAGTACTCTGTAATGTCCTAAAGTACTCTGTGATGTCTTAAAGTACTCTGTAATGTCCTAAAGTACTCTGTGATGTCTTAAAGTACTCTGTAATGTCTCAAAGTACTCTGTAATGTCCTAAAGTACTCTGTAATGTCCTAAAGTACTATGTGATGTCCTAAAGTACTCTGTAATGTCTTAAAGTACTCTGTAATGTCCTAAAGTACTCTGTAATGTCCTAAAGTACTATGTGATGTCCTAAAGTACTCTGTGATGTCTCCTAAAGTACTCTGTAATGTCCTAAAGTACTATGTGATGTCCTAAAGTACTCTGTGATGTCTCCTAAAGTACTCTGTAATGTCCTAAAGTACTCTGTAATGTCCTAAAGTACTCAGTAATGTGTATTTGTGCAGTACTTCTCTCTTACAGGCAGTGCACCACGGTCCTCCCTTCCCCCCCGTCGTACTCGTCCTGCCACTTGTCCACCTGGTGGACGAGCTTCAGAAAGGAGCGCTTGTTTACGGGCGTGTCGCGGTACATCGGCCAGCCGAGGAACTGGAACTGCTGCACCATGCGGTACCCGTCCTGAGGCTGGGGGGAGACAGGGAGGAGACAGGGGTTAAAACAAGCGCACCATAAAGTTAATGAAAGCTACACGCTGAGAAGAAGTAAGGAAAGGAAAGGTAAAGAGGAGGTGAGGAGAGGTTAATAAGCAGGTTAGGAAAGGAAGAAGGAAGCGGGAATAAGGAAAAGGAAGACGGACATAGGAAAGGAAATATGGATACGGATAAGAAGGAAGAAGGAAGGAAGGCAAGAAGGAGAGGAGAGGACAGGAAAGGGAAGGATAGGGGAAAGCTCATTGTAAAGGAGAGAAGGAGGGAAGGAAATAAGGAGAAAACCAAAGAAGGGGTAAGTAAGGTAGGATAGGAATGAGGAGGTAAGGAAAGGTAAAGTAGGACATATGACATGGAAAGGAAATAAGGACGTGGAAAAGGAAAGGAGGGAAGGGAAGGAGAAGCAGGACATAGGAAAGGAAGGGAGAATGTTAGTAACACATGTAAGAAGTGAATAAAGAAGAGACAGGTAGGAGGGGGGGGGGTTAACCGATTCTAACCTAAATGTGAGCCGACAGGGAGGAGAAAGCTCTCGAATCAAACGCACTGAGAGCTAAATCCGACCTGCCACCTGGAGGCGGGTGGGGGGGGGGGATCTGGATCAAACACAGCCAAAATGAAGTGAGACACAGGGAGGAAACGAGGCACAAATCAAACCTAAACTCAGCCCGACGGGGGGGGCGAGGGGGTGATTAAATCAAACGCATCTGATCTAAATCTGCTAAAATAACTGGAGAGAAACTGAGGTTTCTGGATCTAAATAAGGAGGAACGTTAGGAGACAGGAATCAAACACACCCTGAATACCTGAGGACGTAAAGGGGTCAAAATCAAACACAGGGTGCGTTTGATTTAGTCTGTTTACACTGTCTGCTAGATATTCAGTTATTAAGATTTCACCCTCCTCTACTGGCACGACTAGCATCAAAATAATCTACCAACACCAGTTCGATGTGACTTTGAAACTAAATGCAGGCGAGAAAAAGCCATAAACCATAAACTGTGTGCAACTCGATTTTGACAGAAAAGCAACTGGAGACTTCTAGAATTGTGTGAGTAACATTCTGTCTTTAGACTTCTCTGTTTCAGTGTTTGTGTGTGTGTGTGTGTGTGTGTGTGTGTGTGTGTGTGTGTGTGTGTGTGTGTGTGTGTGTGTGTGTGTGTGTGTGTGTGTGTGTGTGTGTGTGTGTGTGTGTGTGTGTGTGTGTGTGTACCTCTGTATCAATGCTCTGAAGTTGATCTGACTGAAATTGTGTTTTTAAATCTCAAAACCGCTACAGCATCTGTCAGGCAGAAACTTGGGACAAGTCATTTGACTGAAACCTTAAAGTGAACTAACTGACTGCTAGGGTTAACTTTGATTTAAACATGTGTAGAATACTAAGAGCTTTATTGAGTAGGTGTAACTGTATTAAGGGTTAAACTCAGAACTTTATAACTTAGGGTTTCATGTAATTGTAAAACCATTGGGCCACTTCAAATACAATAACAACTCAGGAGGAAGCCAGTCTAGATTTCCTTTTGAGGGCCACCAGCTGCAGAGAGTGAACTAATTAAAGGGACGTGGCCCCACAGCTGTGAGAACTCAGCAATCAGGTGTCCATTTTAGGTAGCACTTTCCTGGAGCGTCAGCTTCAGCGTCAGACAGGCTAAGACTGGCAAAGACTGACAAAGACATTAGAGTCCTGCGGGAGTCACGAGGGAGGCAAAGAGGAGGCAAATCCTACTCTGATTGAGCTAAGTATCGCTGGTGTTTTATTTTATTTTGTTGTTTAGCCCCTCATGCTATAATCATGTGTATTTTCTCCATTCCTGTTCATGTGTCTTCTCGCAATTATCACTGGCCCCGTGTATCTCCTAATCGCTATAACCGGCCTGCTCTCGTCTATCCCACATGCTCCACTGAGATCCAACATCTAGTTTCAGGTGACCTGTGGAACTGCCAGTCAGCTGTTCCTAAGGCTGACTTCATCTCTGGCTACACCTCCCTGCAGTCTCTGGGTTTCCTTGCTCTCACTGAGACGTGGATTACTCCATCCAACACATCCACCCCAGCAGCTCTCTCCACAGCATATTCCTTCTCCCATACACCCAGACCCACTGGCAGAGGAGGTGGCACTGGTCTCCTGCTCTCTCCCAAATGGAGCTTTTCCCTCTTCAAGCTACCTAACTTCACTCCTTCCACCTTTGAATTCCATGCCGTCACAGTAACCCATCCTATACAGTTAACCATTGTTGTTCTCTACCGTCCACCAGGCGCCTTGGGGGACTTCTTGGAGGAATTAGATCATCTCCTCTCACACATCCCTGAAACTGGCCCTCCCGCTGTACTTCTCGGAGACTTCAACCTCTAGATGGGGAAGATAGACGAACTAACATCTTTGTTAACCGCCTTTGCTTTCTCACTGTCTCCGTCCCCACCGACTCATAAAGCTGGCAATGTCCTTGATCTCATATTCTCAAGGAACTGCGCTACTTCTAACCTCTCTGTAAACCCGCTCCACACATCCGATCACTTCTTCATTTCATTCTCTCTACCCCTTTCCAAACATAACAAACTAATCTCTTCTCATCCTACACTTGTCCGCCGTAACCTTCGCTCCCTCTCTCCCTCTACCTTTGCCTCGTCGGTGCTCTCAGCCCTCCCTTCCTCGGACTCGTTCCAACTACTACCTCCAAACTCTGCTGCAGAAACTCTCCTCTCTACTCTCTCATCCTCTCTGGACTCTCTCTGTCCTCTCACATCTCGGCAGGCTCGTCAGTCCCCTCCTGCTCCCTGGCTAAATGATGCACTGCGTGCTAATAGAACCGTCCTTAGGGCAGCAGAGTGGAAACGGTGGAAATCCAAACACCGTGACGACCTCCTAACCTATCACGCTCTCCTCTCCTCTTTCTCTGCTTCGATCTCTCAGGCAAAAAGCACTTTCTTTCAAGATAAGATCCAATCTTCCTATTCCAATCCTAAAAAACTATTTTCCATCTTCTCCACCCTCTTGGACCCTCCAAAAGCTCCTCCCCCCCTCCTCACTTCTGTCAAGCGACTTTGTTACCCACTTTGAAAAAAAGGTTGATGATATTCGCTCTTCTTTTTCTGACTCACCTTTACTCACCGCTGGGTCATCAGACCCTCCTTCCACCAACACACTAACCTCCTTTTCCCCTCTCTCTCCAAGTGAGGTTCTTACCCTCATTACCTCTGCCCGCCCTACCACCTGTCCTCTGGACACTATCCCTTCAAACCTCCTTCAGACTATCGCTCCTGATATTCTACCGTTTCTCACCCATTTCATCAACACTTCTCTAACTTCTGGTCACTTTCCAAACAGTCTCAAGGAGGCAAGAGTAAACCCTCTCCTAAAGAAACCCACTCTCAACCCGTCTGATGTTATAAACTACAGGCCTGTCTCTCTCCTCCCGTTCCTGTCTAAATCACTTGAACGCGCTGTCTTTAAACAACTCTCCTGTTATCTCAATCAGAACAACCTTCTGGATCCGCACCAGTCTGGTTTCAAGGCAGGTCACTCCACAGAAACTGCTCTCATTGCTGTCACGGAGGAACTGCACACTGCCAAAACTGCATCCCTCTCCTCTGTCATCATCCTGTTGGACCTGTCTGCTGCATTCGACACGGTGAATCATCAGATCCTCCTTCGCACTCTCCAAAAACTTGGAGTTTCAGGCTCTGCTCTTTCCCTCCTCACCTCATACCTCAAAGACCGTACCTACAGGGTGACTTGGAGAGGGTCTGAGTCCGACCCTTGTCAATTAACTACAGGGGTCCCTCAGGGCTCTGTTCTTGGTCCCCTCCTCTTCTCCTTGTACACAAACTCGCTCGGATCAGTCATTAGCCCGCATGGTTTTTCTTACCACTGCTACGCTGACGACACCCAATTAATTCTGTCCTTTCCCCGCTCAGAGACCCAGGTCGTCGCACGCATCTCTGCTTGTCTAGCTGACATCTCTCAGTGGATGTCTGCTCATCACCTCAAGCTCAACCTTGACAAGACTGAGCTGCTCTTCCTTCCGGGAAAAGATTGTCCCACTCTTGACCTAACAATCAACATCGGCACCTCAGTTGTTTCCCCGACTCAGACTGCAAGGAATCTGGGTGTGACCCTAGATAACAACCTGTCCTTCACTGCAAACATCGCTGCTACAACCCGCTGCTGCAGATACACGCTTTACAACATCAGGAAGATACGTCCCCAGCTGACCCAGAAAGCGACTCAGGTTCTGGTCCAGGCTCTCGTCATCTCACGCCTAGACTACTGCAACTCCCTCCTGGCTGGTCTACCTGCATGTGCCATCCGACCTCTGCAGCTCATCCAGAATGCAGCGGCTCGCCTGGTCTTCAACCTTCCTAAATTCTCCCACACCACTCCGCTCCTCCGCTCCCTTCACTGGCTTCCGGTAACTGCTAGAATCCACTTCAAGACACTGGTACTTGCGTACCATGCTGCGAATGGATCTGGCCCTTCCTACATCCAGGACATGGTTAAACCGTACACCCCAGCGCGTGCACTCCGCTCTGCATCAACCAAACGACTCGCTGCACCCTCGCTGCGAGGGGGACCCAAGTTCCCATCAGCAGAAACACGTGGGTTTGCTGTCCTGGCTCCAAGATGGTGGAATGAGCTCCCCATTGACATCAGGACGGCAGAAAGCTAACACACCTTCCAGACTGAAAACTCATCTCTTTCGACTCCACTTCGAGCGATAGAACTATTAACAAAGCACTTATATACTAATAAAGGACTGGCTTATCTAAAGCCAGTTGAGTAGCACTTGAAATGTTTGGCTCTATGAAACCTGATGTACTTTATGATTCTGTTTTCTTCAAGGTTGTGTCTTCCTGGTCGAACGCACTTATTGTAAGTTGCTTTGGATAAAAGCGTCAGCTAAATGCAATGAAATGTAATGTGATGTAATAAACCCATAACAGGCGACAGTTTCTTTCCAACGCTAATCCCCGGTTTTCTTTCACAACTTTTCTAGGTCAACAATTGATTTAAAAACAAGTCAAAGACCAATTCAAGTCGACAGCAAGACCAGTTTGATTTGTGGAGACCAAGAAAGGTTCAAAACTAACTCAAGTCGATTCAAAGACCAGTTGTTTTTGAGTCTGAATCACAAAGACCGAGCTTCACATTTATCCTCACAACATTTCTGTGAGGGTTTTAACACGATATATAACTGAGTGTCATCAGCGTATAACAAACAGAGGGAGGTGTCAGAGAGTAAAACAAACGCACCCTGGCCGTGTTGTAGATCCTGAAGATGCGACTGATGACGTCCTCCTCCAGATCTGCAGAAACAAACTCCACCTGCAGAGAGCCGAGGCGATGGAGGCCGTTTTCAGGCCAGTACTGAGGACACAACTGGGACAGAAAGACGGGGTTAAAGATGAGACTGACCTGGGACCAGCTGCTAAAGACTGAAGACTCTCCTCTTATAGTGAGGGACACTGACCTGGGGACCAGCTGCTATAGACTGAAGACTCTCCTCTTATAGTGAGGGACACTGACCTGGGGACCAGCTGCTATAGACTGAAGACTCTCCTCTTATAGTGAGGGACACTGACCTGGGGACCAGCTGCTATAGACTGAAGACTCTCCTCTTATAGTGAGGGACACTGACCTGGGCACCAGCTGCTATAGACTGAAGACTCTCCTCTTATAGTGAGGGACACTGACCTGGGGACCAGCTGCTATAGACTGAAGACTCTCCTCTTATAGTGAGGGACACTGACCTGGGACCAGCTGCTATAGACTGAAGACTCTCCTCTTATAGTGAGGGACACTGACCTGGGACCAGCTGCTAAAGACTCTCCTATAAAGCTTGTAGTGGCTCTTATAGTGAGGGCTGGTTCAGACTGACCTGGGACCAGCTGCTAGTTCTGCTGCTAAAGACTGAAGACTCTCCTCTTATAGTGAGGGCTGGTTCAGACTGACCTGGGACCAGCTGCTAGTTCAGCTGCTATAGACTGAAGACTCTCCTCTTATAGTGAGGGCTGGTTCAGACTGACCTGGGACCAGCTGCTAGTCCAGCTGCTATAGACTGAAGACTCTCCTCTTATAGTGAGGGCTGGTTCAGACTGACCTGGGACCAGCTGCTAGTCCATGCTGCCATAGACTGAAAACTCTCCTCTTATAGTGAGGGCTGGTTCAGACTGACCTGGGACCAGCTGCTAGTCCAGCTGCTATAGACTGAAGACTCTCCTCTTATAGTGAGGGCTGGTTCAGACTGACCTGGGACCAGCTGCTAGTCCATGCTGCCATAGACTGAAAACTCTCCTCTGTGACAAAGCTTATAGTCTTTTAATTTCTCTAATGTACAATGCCTTGTCTTTGTATGCTGCTGCTGCAACGCAAACATTTCCCAAATTGGGATCAATAAAGTACTTCTTATGTTATCTTATCTTAGTGAGGGCTGTTTCAGGCTGACCTGGGACCAGTACTTAGTTTTTGCGTCTCTCAAATTGCAGATAAAATGTTATTTGACCTCTGCAAAATATGTTCTTATATATGGAAATGTACATCTTCTTATATCAATAGATTCGATTAGATTCCTTTTATTGTCACTACAGCAAAACTCCAAGCATTCCCGATGGTGCAATCACACATAACAGACAGTATTAGATTCATGTTGACAATACAAGCTAAAACTGTTAATATATAATATATAAAGTGACTATAAATTGGACCTATCATACATTGAACAGTACGCTTACAAAACAATAACATTACCATACAAATGCAAGAACAATACGGTCAAGGCAGTAAAAGATGTAAACAAGTCAGGAAGTAGGTTGTATTTATCAGTGCAGGTGATAATTACAAAACTAGAAATAAATATGTTTTCTATAGAAACCTCTTATAATTCCTAATTAAGAAGATTTAAAAGACTGATAAGTGAAGTTCGAGGTTTTGTGTGAGTACCTGTGCGGGGTCCACGTCGTTCAGCATGACGATGGACGTGCAGTGATAGTCGAGGACGAGACGCCAGAAATCTTTCACCGTGTTCGGCAAAGGATGCTGGGTAACGATGAACGCTGACGGCTGCTTGTAGCTCTGTAACAGGAAGTGACATCACACAGGTGAATAAACAACAAGGGGACACAGTGATACCTCGTACAACAAGTCATTATTTAAAATAAAGGTTAAAGGATTTCTAAACACTCAAGCTCATCCAATGAACTCTCCCAAAGCATCATGGGAACTTGATTAAATAAACACAATATAGATACTTAATAAAATACATATAATGTTTTCCATTGGTCCCTCTTCTTTAGAGAAGACCAGGGGCCTCATTTATAATGCCGTGCGTAGGGTTCACGTGGGAAGGTTGCTTACGTAGTAGAAATCCAAAAAATAGGTACAGACATTTTCCGATTCACCAAACATTGCGTACCGGCGAGGAAAGTGCGTACGGCACTTCTTACGCCGGTTTCCCTTTATAAATCACAACCGACTCGAAATGCGGTGCAGCTTTTGCGGGCTTCACGTAACGCCCATTCATTCATTCATTCTGACTGCATGAAGGAGATCGCAGGAAATGACGACAGAACAGCTAAAAAAGACATCTCACACCGTGTCAGATTCTGGTTATTTTGGGAGGTGGAGATAAATCATATTGTTCGGTGGATGCAGTTTGAACCAGAGTAGCAGCATGGAGGTCGGATCGTCACCAACATAAATAAATAAGTGGTCTGAAAAAGGTTCATGACAAAAACAATACACATAGCCTTCCTCAGGCAGTGTGTTTGCACCGGGGACAGGAGACCCCCCCCCTGATGAGAGACTGTAAGAAGTGATCGGGGAATCCCCCCGGAGTGGAGTCATGACGACTGGATCTGAATTATGTTTTCGTATTTGGTGGTTTGTGTCCCAGCTGTCGATCAGCTGTGCGCAGCGTCTCCACTGCAGCCTGTGCGTCTCAACCCCCCCCCCCCCCCCCCCCCGCCGCAACTTTATATTAGCTGTTCAATTGACCACATGGTGTTCTTAGCTTCCATACCTCCTGTGTTTTACGAGCGACTTATCAAGTCTTAGCAAACGGCATAAAACACGATTAAACGTGATAGTCTATAAAACCATGCTCGTATCTACAACCTATAGAAATGCAACACGGCGTCAGTTTAGACGTAACTCTGTCCTCCTGCTCACCGCATCATTTATGAGGAAACATTTCATAACATTAACACAACATATTCGAGGTGGTTTTAAATAACATATCCGTATTTATTTATTTCTCCAGGTGATGTGTTTGTGTGCGCTGAGGAGTCTCACACAGGCGTTTGTTAAATCATTTTAAGATTGGCTTTAATCAATGTTTGAAAATGAATTCTTCATATCTGATAAATGAGAGGTAACATTTTGTTCATGGTATTATTTCCACATATTTCTCTCCATTCTTCCTTCTGCCAACGGGGTCGCAGTTTCTCGTCTCTCCCGTGTTTGTGCTTAGTGCGTACGCATGGGTCAGAGTTTGCGTGGAGGACCGCACGTTTTCCCCTCAAGTTAGTATTTTATAAATCGCAAACATTGCGTAGAAACTGGCGTACGCCATCTTTTGAGCGTATATCCCTTCAACATGTTAGAAGTAGAAAGTACAGGTATTTGAGTTCAACATGTAAGAAGTAGAAAGTACAGGTATTTGGGTTCAACATGTTAGAAGTAGAAAGTACAGGTATTTGAGTTCAACATGTGAGAAGTAGAAAGTACAGGTATTTGAGTTCAACATGTAAGAAGTAGAAAGTACAGGTATTTGAGTTCAACATGTAAGAAGTAGAAAGTACAGGTATTTGAGTTCAACATGTAAGAAGTAGAAAGTACAGGTATTTGTGTTCAACATGTAAGAAGTAGAAAGTACAGGTATTTGAGTTCAACATGTGAGAAGTAGAAAGTACAGGTATTTGAGTTCAACATGTAAGAAGTAGAAAGTACAGGTATTTGTGTTCAACATGTAAGAAGTAGAAAGTACAGGTATTTGAGTTCAACATGTAAGAAGTAGAAAGTACAGGTATTTGAGTTCAACATGTGAGAAGTAGAAAGTACAGGTATTTGAGTTCAACATGTAAGAAGTAGAAAGTACAGGTATTTGTGTTCAACATGTGAGAAGTAGAAAGTACAGGTATTTGAGTTCAACATGTAAGAAGTAGAAAGTACAGGTATTTGAGTTCAACATGTAAGAAGTAGAAAGTACAGGTATTTGAGTTCAACATGTGAGAAGTAGAAAGTACAGGTATTTGAGTTCAACATGTAAGAAGTAGAAAGTACAGGTATTTGAGTTCAACATGTAAGAAGTAGAAAGTACAGGTATTTGAGTTCAACATGTGAGAAGTAGAAAGTACAGGTATTTGAGTTCAACATGTGAGAAGTAGAAAGTACAGGTATTTGAGTTCAACATGTAAGAAGTAGAAAGTACAGGTATTTGAGTTCAACATGTTAGAAGTCAAAGTAAAAAGTAGTGGAGTAAAGTACTGATACCAGAAACATGTACTTAAGTACAGTAACAAAGTATTTGTACGTACGTCCATGAGAGCAGCGTTGATGTAGTTGGAGCTTTCCCCGTCGATGGTGATGAGGAAGGGGAGGCAGCGGTCTGGAGGAAGGACGTCCATGCAGCGGTTCTTCTCGTGGTTCCTCGGCAGCAGAGCGATGCTGCAGTCCTCCACCCGCAGCGTGGGCGTCACCATGTTCAGCGTCTGGACACCGATAACAAACTGTTAATACTTAAAGCAGTAAAATCAATCAATACTGGGGCTGTTGTTGGCTTAATTGGTAGAGCTGTGTCGCTCCAATTAAGGCACTGGTTGCCCCAAAAACGCTTTTAAAAATATAAATAATAGTAACAATCTATATTATCACCATGTTCAGAGTCTTTGCTAAAACATACTACTAAACAATACCCTTAATAACAATAATCAATATTTACATCTAAAAAAACAAAACCATAACCCTTTTCAGTTTTTGAGCACATAAATACCAATATTTCCACCATTACACAATACATAAATATTCATTAGTTATAGAATACAGCATAACAGATAAATACCAATACTATTAATAATACAAAATAACAAACAATATTCATCATCCTGTAAGAGTCTGCATTAAATACCAATATATTACAGAGTAATTGGAGTTATTATCCTTCAATAGAGGCTTATTTAGTTAATAACTGTTTCAAATTAAGTTATATATATGATTGCAGATGTAATGGTTTATTACTCTTAAATAATTGGTTATTAAAATGAATATCTGCAGAAGTAATGGTTTATTAGCATTTAATAACTGATTACTTACATTTGAAACTGTATAATCGGTTGTTTATAACCCTTTAGTAGTGGGTAACAAACATTTATAGGTGTTATAACCCATTATACACTGTTTACTAACAAATGTATTTATATGATATATTATTAACACATATAGTCAGTCGTTCATTATGTACAACCTAAAAACACGTTACCCTGAACTCCTCTTTGATCTGGCTGGAGTTGGTCTGAGGGTCCAATCGGTTCATCTCGTAGTACACAGAGCGCAGCTGATTGGCCGGGATGGCGGTGTCGCCGCAGAGACACGCCTCCAAGATGGCGTCGTGGATGAAGACGTACTGCTCCTGAAAACCCAAGAGAGGAACCGTCAGCTCTGGAGGAAAATGTCACTTCATAAAAGATTTATGTCAAGAGAGAGGAAGAGGAGTGACATTAAAGGAAGAAGAGAGGGTCATCTCTGTCACTTCCTGTCAGACTTCAGAAGAACTGCAGAACAATAACAACCAAACAATCCTGTGTGAAGAAGGAATGAGAAGAAACTAGTCTATATGTATTGCTATCTCTTAGACAACATATAACATAAGAAGCACTTTACTGATCCCAAATCGGGACATGTTGCTGCAGCATCAAAAACAAGGCATGCACACAAGTAGAAATGAAAAGACAAGAAATAAACAACTCAAAAATGTGAACATTTCAAAATAGAAATAAAACAGCATTAAAAAGTAAAACAATATACAAGTTGAATTATCTAAAAACTATCTGACAAATAAAACAATATTGAGAGGACAATTTTCAGTCAAAACAATAAAATAAAGCAGGATATTATTTACATTAAGTGTGTAAAGAATGGAATATTAAATTAAATATAAATGACAATTCAACTATGTAATACATCTTTAAAATACTGTGCAATATACTGTATACTTCCACTTGTAATACAACTAACCTGACTGCTATCACACTACTTTATCCATGCTACACTTTAAAAAACTGTTACTGGTACTTTTTGTTGTACACCTGGATGTGTATTTTGTAAATTGTGTAATTTCCTTTTTACCTTAATATTTAAGCCTCTTATTCAATATTTAGTGATTTCTGGCTCTTTATTATTGCTGTAACAATGTACATGTCCCCTGTGAGGAACACAAGTATTCTGTTTTTGTGTGGACCCCACAATTCGGCTAAAATATGTGGACCCCTCAAAGTGTAGAAAACAAGTATGGGTGTGTTTGTTTGTGCATTTCTGTATTATAGTGTCTGCATTTATCCGAAAGTAACATTTGTCAGATACAACGTTTTCAATACTTCAGATTTCAGTTAAGATTGCTTTGGCGCCGCCTCTGGTTGGCGGTGGTAACTGCACGTTATTACAATAGGCAGGATCTGGTGAAAATCGAGGGTTTTTGGGACTACATCTCCCATGATTCTCCCATTATTGGGGGATGGATGTTAACAGAATGTGTTTATCTTGACTCCCCTTATATATTTTGACCTGATATATAATTACCTCTGTCTGCACCATGTTCACCCTGCGTGCTCGTAGCTCTCGGACACAGTTGTAAATGTCGACGACGCCTTCTCGTTCCGCCATGTCCAGCATGATGTCGATCACTATGAAGCAGCCTGTACGCCCTGCGCCCGCACTGAAACACAAACACACACACACTTATTTACACACATTTCTTACCGTGTTTCTGGTTTGAAGCCTGAAATCAGGTCTGTGGTTAACAGAAGCTGAAGATATATATATTTTTTAATACCTCACTGGTGGATTTGAAAAAGGCAGTTGCCAACAAGTGTCTAAATGAGACAAATAAACGTCATCACGCCCAACATTAGCCTCCTTTAGCTTAGCGGTGGTGACGTGAAGTCATGTGACCGTGCTAAAGTTCCTTTATAGCCCAACATTAGCCGCCTTTAGCTTAGCGGTGGTGACGTGAAGTCATGTGACCGTGCTGTAGTTTCTTTATAGCCCAACATTAGCCACCTTTAGCTTAGCGGTGGTGACGTGAAGTCATGTGACCGTGCTGTAGTTTCTTTATAGCCCAACATTAGCCACCTTTAGCTTAGCGGTGGTGACGTGAAGTCATGTGACCGTGCTGTAGCTCCTTTATAGCCCAACATTAGCCACCTTTAGCTTAGCGGTGGTGACATGAAGTCATGTGACCGTGCTATAGTTCCTTTATAGCCCAACATTAGCCACCTTTAGCTTAGCGGTGGTGACGTGAAGTCATGTGTCCGTGCTGTAGTTTCTTTATAGCCCAACATTAGCCACCTTTAGCTTAGCGGTGGTGACATGAAGTCATGTGACCGTGCTATAGTTCCTTTATAGCCCAACATTAGCCACCTTTAGCTTAGCGGTGGTGACGTGAAGTCATGTGACCGTGCTGTAGTTCCTTTATAGCCCAACATTAGCCACCTTTAGCTTAGCGGTGGTGACATGAAGTCATGTGACCTTGCTGTAGTTCCTTTATAGCCCAACATTAGCCACCTTTAGCTTAGCGGTGGTGACGTGAAGTCATGTGACCGTGCTATAGTTCCTTTATAGCCCAACATTAGCCTCCTTTAGCTTAGCGGTGGTGACGTGAAGTCATGTGACCGTGCTGTAGTTCCTTTATAGCCCAACATTAGCCACCTTTAGCTTAGCGGTGGTGACATGAAGTCATGTGACCTTGCTGTAGTTCCTTTATAGCCCAACATTAGCCACCTTTAGCTTAGCGGTGGTGACGTGAAGTCATGTGACCGTGCTATAGTTCCTTTATAGCCCAACATTAGCCTCCTTTAGCTTAGCGGTGGTGATCCCATTGGACCAGGGACTTCAGGGTCCCGATAAGATGTAAGTTAGTATTTACCTGCAGTGGACTACGGTTGGTCCGGCGGTCGGGGGGGTTTTGGCCTTGACGCGGCGGATGAATCCGAGCAGGCCAGTGGCGTGAAGCGGCACGCCGTGATCCGGCCAACCGGTGAAATGAAACTGCCGGATCTCCCTGATCTCTGCCACGCCACGCTGACAGAAACAGAGAGGTAACACACACACACACATAGATGTTACTCACCATGAAACTTCCCCACTTCATTACTGACATTAAGTATGTGTGTGTGGGAGTGTGTATGTGTGTGTGAGTGTGTGTGTGTGTGTGTGTGTGTGTGTGTGTGTGTTACCTTCTCCACGGCAAAGGTCCGGATCACGTACTCTGAAAGCAGCTGGGTCTCGATCAGCGTCACCTTCATGTCGCCGTAAATCTCTGTGTCGTCTGGCCAGTATTTACAACACTTCACCTGCACACACACACAGAAAATATACACACACACACACACACACACACACACACAAACAAACAAACAAACAAACAAACACACACACACACACACACACACACACACACACACACACACACACACACACACACACACACACACACACACACACACACACACACACACACACACAGACAGAGAGTGGTGTTTATTCATCAGCATTAAATGGGCTCATTAATTAAACAGCTGATATTAAAATCTCATTAGAGGCCCCGCCCCTTTCTCATTAACAGCTAATTACTGCGGAGCTAATCACATTGTCGCCACAGCAACAAACGAGGTGAACGGAGGGGGGTTGCAGTGCTAAAGTGACACTGGTGTGTGTGTGTGTGTGTGTGTGTGTGTGTGTGTGTGATAATCAGTTGGATCTATCCCAGAATCCCCCTCTGCAGCTCTCCTGGATCCCTGGTGCCTTCTGGGTAATGAGAGCTGGGACCTGGAGCACGCCTGCAGGTGTGTGCGTGTGTGTGTGTGTGTGTGTGTGTGTGTGTGTGTGTGTGTGTGTGTGTGTGTGTGTGAGGAAGATAATCTCAGGTTAAATCTTCTCTGTGTTTCAGAAGACGTGTTTTTGAATAGTTTTAACATGTTTAAAGTTTATTTTCATCTTTTTATTGTAATTATCTTCTTTAAATAAATATATTTCCATGTTGTTTTTTTTGTATCTACTTTAATTGCTCCCTATGTTTATGACTATGCATCAACCCAGATGAGTTTCGGGTCCATACGAATGTAAATTTCTGCTCGAAAATGCTAATTAATCCACGCGGGAGTTTCAGGGAATAAACTTTTCCAACAACAGAGGAGGAGACACAAAGAGCAGAGACTGACAGATGCACTCTGGGAAATGAAGTCCCCAACTTCATCAAGAGACGAACAATAACAACAACCAGATGGCCACAACAATCAATGTGTGTGTGTGTGTGTGTGTGTGTGTGCCACTCACCCGCCCCACCTCCACCAGGTTAGTTACCATGACGATGGCGGCGGTGTTTTCCTGCCAAACCATCCTCCAGAAATCGTACACAGTCTCCTGCATGGGACCTGCAACACACACACACACACACACACACACACACACACACACACACACACACACACACACACACACACACACACACACACACACACACACACACACACACACACACACACACACACACACACACACACACACACACACACACACACACACACACACACACACACACACACACACACAGACAGACAGACAGACACACACAGACAGACAGACACACACACACACAGAGTAAACTTCATATTAGACGGCGGATCAGCAGGCGACACCGGAGCTGTACATGAATTATAATGACTCTTTTTCATTAATTCAAATTAAGCGCACGCACACACAAACACACACACACGCCGAACATGTTTTTAATCACTGTTGACTGTCTGTGTTTTGACGAGCTAATTAGTTCATGCTAATCCATTCCTGTCCTCAAGTGTTTTACAGCGAGAATCTGCTGCCTGCACACACACACACACACACACACACACACACAAGCACACACGCACACACACACACACCTATACACACACACACACACACACACACACACACACACACACACACACACACACACACACACACACACACACAGAGACACCTATACACACACTCAATATTCATGCTCACAGACTGACATGTTGGCACAAACACTCAAGTTTGTTCAGGAGGATGTGTGTGTGTTTGTGTGTGTGTGTGTGTTTGTGTGTGTGGACCCCACAGTTTGGCTAACACTATATCGACCCCTCAAGGGAGGAAATTGTGTGTATATGTGTCTGTGTGTGTGTATATGTGTCTGTGTGTGTGGGTGTGTCTGCAGGTATCTGAAAGTTAGATTTAAAACTTAAACTGTTAGATAAGTTTTTATTTCTTCAGATTTGAGTTGTGGGTTATTGGGCGCCACCTGTGGTCGGTGGTGGTAACTGCAGGTTGTTACTAAAAGGCGCAGGGGTGAGGTGGTAATTAAAGGGCTTTGGTACTAGAACTACCATGATGCTTTGGGGGATGGTAACCCATATAAGCATGTCTTAATCTTCACCCGGCCTTCCCATTTATTTTAAAAAAGTTTAAAGATGTACAAGAAAAAATATCTGCATTTTGAGAAGACGTTAAAACATCTTGAGAAACAGTTAAAACATTACAAAATAAATATAGACCAAAAACTCTGAATATATACACAGAGAAAATGGTAATATTTACATAGAAAGGTCTGAATATTTTGGAGTTCATTATGAGAAAAAAGTCTTAATTCTGTGAGAAATAAAGATTGAATATTTTTAGAAATA